TGTAGGATATAAGACATATCTGTATCTTTTGATGTAGGATATAAGACATATCTGTTACTTGTGATGTAGGATATACAAAACATATCTGTAACTTGTGATGTAGTTTTAGAATCACCAGCTTGAATTGTCTTCCTCTTATGCCCTCCTCTTACTAGATTACGTACTCGATGGTATAGTTGTATGTTGCAATGACAGTGTTCAGAGATGCTTCTGGTAACGACCAAGTCTGACATGAGTACGCAAGTGTACTTCTAAACATAGAGTCGATTATCTTTCTTCTTGAATTTTTGTGATATATTCACTTGTTGTTGTCTGATGAAAGTACCTCCTTGCACGCACAAGGAGGGCCCCATTAAACGGACATCTTTCGACATTTCCAACTATTACGTCATCTATTTCATCTCTTGGTGTAGAATAATGAAAAAAAATTATATTGATTTCAAAATAGTTTTCCAAAAAAGGCTTAGAACTTATCGGCAAATTGGACATTTGCCCTGTTCGTACACACAACGCGTGCACCGGTCATAAAACCAATAGTGCCCGCACTGAGTTGCTATTATGGTTGCATTTTCATCATGCTCACAATCTGCATTGGTATCTTGAAAAACAAATAAGAAAAAAAAACATTGGAAAACAGTTTTTAAGTATTAAGACAAGAAAAAAGATCTGATATCTACTTACTTTGTTGTGAAGCCATATTGACAACAGACTGATTGAAAAATGGAGCGTCCTATGTATATACACCTACTTGCAGAAACGTTGAATAAATTAAAACAAGACAAAAGAGAGCGTTCAGCCTCAGTGATCTTCTTTTGTCTTTTTCAATTTATTCCTTTTTATTAAATGCAAATGTCCTATTTTCCATGACAACGTTTTTGCAAGTGGGCGTATAAATGTTACGCCCTCATATCAATTATTGTTTAACATTTGAAAATGTAATCCTCAGTTATTCTCCTCAGAGTCATTACCTACTCGTAATTGGAGTTTTTGTGTTATTATGTAAGCTAACGAGGACGTGAGAAAAAGATATTTAATTAACCATACTATGAATTAACTAACTATGAATTAACTAAAAAAATAATAGATAATGCCTTTTTTCACGTCCACTTTAGCTAACATGAGAGAATCACAAAATGACGTCGAAAAAAACTATCTTTCTAAAACCTTTTGAAAAGAGTAAAAGACCGTTGTCTGCCGTTAATTTGGGAAGGAACAGATTCTGCGATATCTGATGCAAACACGAAAAACAAAACACAAAAACTCCAATTACGAGAAGCTAATTACTCTGAGGATAATAGCTGAGGATTGCATCTTCAAATATTTTAAAATTACAGCTAGAAAGAGTCATTATTAAAAACTGAATAAAAACGCAGACGTTTTCCTCGCGGGAGTTCTGACCGAAACGCCTCTGCATTTTTATAATAAAACCTTAGGCTAGGACAATTGTCCAATTTTCCGACAAGTTCTAAGCCTTTTTTGAAAACTATTTTGAACTCAAAATAATTTGTTTTTCATTATTGTGCACCCAGAGCTGATATAGATGACGTAATAATTGGAAATGTAGAAAGATGTCCGTTAAATGGGGCCCAGATCTTAATAAAATTCATGTTAAATTTTCAAAATCTTATCTCATTCATTAACCCTAAATTTTCTTCGACATTTGAGCGAGAGAAACTTTCTCTATTCCAATAAAATAAAAAAAACATCGAGGAAACCATGAGATTTAGTTTTCGTTTTTCCAACTAAAACTCGTGAAAAAATCGTTTTCGATTTTTTAACTTAATCTATACTACTGATTTCTATACGAAAATTAAAAATTCATCTCCACTTTTTTGGCAAATAACTGCTGTGGTTTATAAAGGTTTGGCCCTCTAGACGGAAAGCTTATTTGCGCTGGAGACATGGATGTGTGCAATCGATTTTTGAAAAGGCGTTACTCGGAATACACTTATCTGTCGAGGGCTTTGATTTTCTACGCTATTTTCATGCTCTGTGTTTTGAAGATGCTGTTAATAGTGTGAAATATCAAGAAACGCGTGATAGCGGATGGGTTCGAACTGATAATCTAAATAAGGACGAGGAGGATTTTTCAAAGTATTTTACTCAAGGACGAGACCTTGTTCCGTACGATATTCTAGCTGAATTGGAAACGTTCTTCTTACGTTTAACAAAAGTTGAACCTCCCGAAATATCGTTGACTGATAGACGTTTGAGAAACGAATCAACAAGTTAAAAGAATCTTCCGGAAAGGTACTCAGTGAGCTTTGTGTAAAGAAATGATTGAGAATTATAACTACCCCGACTTCAGAAAAAGGTAATCAGAGAGGGTTTTGTTAACCTTCTTGCCTTGTGCCAAAAAAGTGACTTTATAATTATAGTCATAAAAAAATTTAAAAACTTTTAATAGTTTTTTTATTTATAATAATGTATACGAAAATTAAAAATTTACCTCCACTTTTTTTGGTGAATAACCGCTGTTGCGGGCTCAGAAAAATGCCCTTATAAGGGTACTCTCAGTAGATACATAATAATGACAAGATTCATATATAAGTTTTCTCCATAGAACACTCTTACCTCTCGCAGAGGTGTAACCAATAGCGACAGTGACGTAGAACCAACATATTTAGCCAGTATCTCAAATGAATCAAAGCTTTTAGTTGACTTGGCTTCGTGTAGTTTATTAGCAAGCTTCTCTACCTCTCGCTCTGTAGCAACTTCACCAAAGAGATCCTCTACGAGAATCTAAAATAGAAAAGGACATCAAAAAACATAAATGTGTGTGACATATTTTACACTACCAGGCGCCATCTTGAAAGGTAACCAAGCCTTTGCATCAAAGCGAGACGGTGGTTAAATCTGTAGTTATAGATACTTTTTGGTCACACCTTAAACAGTTGTTCAAGGGTATCTATCATTGCAAGCTCACTGTCTCGATTTGATGCAAGGGCAACACTGCCTTTCATGATGGCGCTGGTAACTATAAAATGGCGTATTTAAGTACTAAGAAATCGTGAATCTTCTTAGATTCATTTGATTTATTTGACAAAGACTCGTGCAATCCCGGTCAGTTCTTCAGGACCAAAAAGAACAGAAATGTTCCACATCCACCGTCGTTTCCGGTCGCATAAAAATATACCCCCAAAAAATATATCACAATACGATTTTGCGCTTGTTCAACATGATAGTATAGTAGCGCGCGTAGAAACTTAAATAGAGGCACTGTTTTAGAAATCTCAGGCAATCTCTCTATCTAAACTAGAAAGAAATTCAGGCAAGAATTTCATTGTCATTTTAGGTAATCAATAACCTTAAAAAGAGCGCATTTTAAAACTTAGCAACGAGTTTCTGAAAGGCAATATCGCTTTGGAGCTTCAAAGAATCCTGCACGAAATGTTCAACTTATAGAATCACGTGTAATAAGAAGACCAAGTGCTTGTTAACTAACACCATATATCGTTTCGTTTGTTTTGTCGAAACTGATAATTTCTAGATAGTTTATACTTTTTTTCTAAAAATATTTAATTCAGTGATTGCAATTGAAGTTCGTGAAGTATTTTACAGCACAGAAATTAAACTAGATAATGAAAATGTCAAAGTTGAATGGACATAAAAAGAAAACAATGCCGAATTAGCGAAAATTAAGGTGTATAAATTTCAAGAGTGTCATATTTTTCTAAAATCGGTGTATAATAATTATAC